TTAGGGTTGTCCAGAGGTTAGCGATTAAGCAAGAATTATAGGTAAAATTGCGCTCCCGACATTTTTTGTTAATGCCCCAAGAGAGTTTTAGACACTCATTTCTTGTATTTTTGAGTTTTGTTGTTTTTTTTTGCTTCGTAAAAATTTTACTTAATAGCTTAGTTAGGTTAACAACAAGGATTTTTTGATATTCGCGATTAAATATTTATTAAAATTTTTTTAAAATCGTAAAAATGTTTTTGACTTGCAATTAAAATGAAAAACGTATTAATAAAAAGTTTTTTAATTTTCATGAAAATTAAATAATATATGCTAAATATCTCTAGAAACATTTTTTAATTAATACCCAAATAACATTTACATAATACAAAAAAAACTTTTATATGTAGTGATTTCACCGCACGGGCTATAAGCGATCATCAAAATTTTCATTCTCTGAACAAAAATCACAAAAATCTTCGTCCCCTGAGCAAAAATCTAAACTTTCATTGTCACTATCATCACTCTCGTCATTTATTTCATCGTCAATCGTTTTCCAATAATTTCTCGCCTTATCCAAACATTTTTTCCAGCACGAAACAACCATATCTGATTTAATTTCGTCCAGGAAACAACGAAGTAAGGTATTTCGAAGAGAAAGAATATTTGGTGGCCGTTGTTCCCCTGCAACCTTATTTTTTACAGCTCCCCACACCATTTCAATCGGTTGTAGCTCACAATGATATGGGGGTGTAAAAAGTAGTCGGTGACCAGAATTCTTTGCAATAGTGACGGTGGAGAAAGGAATTGACGGTTTTTCATTTTTCGCCAATTCATATAATTCTGCTTTTGTTATACTTTCGTCAAATTCAATATTGCGAGCTTCTAACCACATTTTTGTTGCAGATTTTTTCCAGTTAGAAGTTGGTGCAGCCTCAGTACGACGTTTGTGGTATCTTGCTCTATCCATATGAATAACGCATGGTCCATAATTTGTAGCAAGATTTTCGCAGAGTTTTTTAAAAATTTTTTCAAACACTTCCACGTTAAAATTCCCATGATAATCCACTTTATCTGGAACAATACCGGCCGCCTTCACTTCATCTGGAACTGTCTCCCATGCTTCTGCATTCTTTTTCTTCCTTCTCTTTCCAGTCAGTGGCTTTGTAGTAGGGTCCCAAATAAGAAGAGATTCACGAACAATCTCCCCCTTCACTTGGTTAGTGTTTCCATTATGAAAAATGATGATAGCACCAAAAATAACCAACATATTACCTTTTCCGTTTTCATAAACCACACCATCTTTCAGAACC